TGCTGTGCAGTTTGACGAAACCTGTGAGCAATGCCCTCTTATGTGTTCCCTTTATCCCTGCATATAACACTTGACTGAACAATTTAGTTGCTATTCTAAACAATTTCATTATTAAGAGGTGTATTTAATTTTGCTATTATTTACTAGCCACATATATTTTAAATGAAACTGTCAACCTTACTTTTTTTGGCACAGATTGCATCATTACTCTGTTTCTTCATCACACAAGAATGGAATCTAATTCCACAGGCACCACACAAAGAACTACATCAGAATGTTTCCATCTGCCATGAAAAGGTGCCATTTTTCACAACCTAAATTCTCCACAAAAAAGGAGAACTATCAAATGATCTTTGTTTTCCATAAAGCTAAGTAATGCAACATTTAATATCCTATTAATCTCTTTTCATATTCTGATTCTTCAATAGCAAAAGGATGAAAATCCAAGCATGAGTTAAGGTTTAAACCATAAAAATTATCCACTTTTTCCCCGCCCCAAACCTAATATGCTTTATTTTCTGCTACTTGTTCCTACCTACTTAGAGATTAATCATTATAGTGTTTACCTTAAAAAATACACTGTCATATATTATGTCTTCCTTGACACTGTAGTGGAACTTTCTATTCTTTTGTAGCAGAAATGTGGAAAACCTACTTAAACCTCTGAACTTGCAAGTGATTTTATCAACATCTGTTATTTGCTATCATAGATGAAAACACTGAAACCTCCTTCACAAACTATTATGAAACCCACTTACAAGTTAAGCTTTGATTTCAAGCTACCCATAAGGGTATACCCTAAAATTCAAACTGCCAAAGTTTACCATTATTAGCTCATGTTCTCCTCTGTACTAACAAGACGTGTCTACTGCTGACATTAAAGTTGTCAGCAATTTGAGACACTCCATAATTAGGGAACAAAAAATTGTCCATATTTCTTTAGTCAAAGACTTTTACTCTTTTCTTTTTAGGGTTGGGAATTCCTTTTTGTCATTTACCTTTTTTTTTACCTTTTTTTTTTCTGGAATTTTAATGTTTTCCTTATAGAATTAGTTGGTATATACAAGTTCTTTCCTGTATGCAAGTAAAGAGTATTCCCATCTTCAGCAGCCCTTTTTGTTTTGAAGCCTATTATGCAATGAATGAGACAAAATGTGAAGCAACATGAAATCATTTATAATGGGGTACAGGCCCTGTTAAGGTAATTGTTGTGTCTGTTCCCAAGTCTCAGCTGAGAGCTGTCACACTTGCAGGACTGTGACAGATTTGCATTCTCCCAAAACACATAGTTCAGGATTTCAGTTATACCAAATTTTAAAAGTTTGTATCTGAGAAAAGACTGTCATACCCAGGACCAGAAAAATCTCTAGTGGGAGGTCTAATTACAGTTCTATTATTAAAAACTAGGTTATAATACTTTCCTTTAATATCATTATGTGCACTCTGCAGAACTTCATTATTTTATAAATAAACTTCATCTGAGGTCAAAAAAAAAATCTTTCTGAATAAAATGATATTAAATTATTATGTTCCACATTTTAAAAAATGCTTTAAGCTTTAACTTACTGCATGCCATTTAGATGGTAAACCAAGAAGGTTCACTCAAGAAAGTCACACCCCATGTCTGTGATTACAAAAGGGAAAAGAGAGGTCTCTTGGATTACCTTCTCCCATTTCTCTTATACTTTAAATGTACTATTTTATCTCACAAACACTGAAAGCCAACTTTTGGCCCTTCCTACTGAAACTTTGATTTTCTTATAGATGAGTCAAATACTGTAATTTTCAAGGTCCAGATTTTCTGCATAATCCATTTTCTGGCTAGCAAAAGAAGTAAGAGTTAGAGAGAAACCTTTTGAGCAACTGTAGGAGGGACCTGCAAAATTTATTTTCCCCACTTTTTTGATTTAGAGCACCCTACCCAATTTGCTAAAAAAGCCTGAAGAGAGACACAGCCCCACTCACAGCAATTAAAATATTAGTGACATTTTTGCTATCTTTTTCTAGATGCCCTTCCACAGACTTCTTGGTAACACTCCAGAGGTTTTTAAGTTCTGCACATCTCAGACAGAAAACTGTCAGGATTGTGTGGCTGAAAGTTTGTTATGGATTTTGTGCTAGAGATTTGACTCCACAGCTAAGAGGTATCAGACTTCACTGCTAAACTTGAGGCATCTGAGAAATGTAGCTCCACATGATCCATGATGGATGTCACAGTGGGCATGGCCAGAGGAAGGACAACTCTCCTCCCCCACAGCTAAAAAATATATGTGGGTTCTCAACTTATGCTGATGGCACATAAATTAGAAAATTTTTTTTTTGCAATTCTTTACTTCTCATATTTAAAAGCATTATTTGTATTTACATCGCAAGTTATGTGAAACAAATTGCAAATCTGAGTGTTTTGAAAGCTCAGTCCAAGAATAAATGCACTGAGACACAGGTGCTCTAGACACTGAACTTTTAGGAAAATAATGCAGCTCTTTGGGGAGAAATACACTATACACCTAACAAAAATGAAGATTTCGAATATTTAGAAGTGGGTTTTATTTTGACTATATAAAATGGGGGGTTTTGCATATGGAAAGTAGTGGATGAGAGAGAATTACCTAACATAATTTCATTTAAGCCTAAATATTTTACAGTTAATTAGTGACCTGGGTTTCACTTTTCAAAAATAAGAGAAATTATTGATGTCATACACTTCACTGTCTTAATTCCGACCCTTTAGGCTAATCTACTCAAGACAGCACCCCTAGAACTGCATAGGATTGAATAAAAAAAAAATTCTGCAATGAAAGTAATTCATTTAGCACTTTTACAAAGCTAACAATGATGAGAAATCACTAAGAAGCAGTAGCCTGCTAACTGAAATCGATTCCTCAGCTAGAAACAGAGATGGATTTGAACCACTGCAAACAATCAGGAGAAGAGGGATAAACTAGTTTTTACATGGAAATCCACACTCATGTATTGAAGGCCACCTCTCTGAGCTGTTAGAAGAGGGAGAAACACCGTCCTGGGACTATACAGCAAGACCTCCTGAATTTCTGTCCTAAAACCCCCAGAAATAAGTAATTTCTTCAAGATTTAAAGATCAATAGCTTTTTGATAGCTGAAATAAGAACATCCTGTCCAAAAAACCCAGGTCAAGATCCAGGCAAAAAAAAAAAAAACTTAAGTCATAATGTTTAGGGGGTTTTTCTCAGAGCCCAAATGAAGTAGAGAGAGATTAATACTTTTGCAAATATATGTTTACAAATGCATTTGCACATGCAACTAAAAATATTGTTAGAAAACTCAAAGAAAAAGTACCTAAACACCATAAAACTACACTTAATAAAATTAGAACTGGAGGAAAGGCCTCTAGATCATGCAGATGAATGAGTCAAACCTAATATTAAAAGCACATGTTGATAGATATTTTCTAAACCTTTCATAATTCTTGTTATTCTTCTGCAGACTTGGTCCAAGTTTCCTCAGTAATTGCAGCTTTGCTATTCCATAAAACAATCATTTCTGAGAAAACAATGGTCTAGCAGTATTACATTTTCTTTAGATATAGAAGCAAAACAGTTACTCTTCATTTTCCACAACTATTTCTGTGACCATAAAAAGGCCTAACAGGTAATACATTTCAAATTAGGCTATATCAGATGATGGTTGCTGTGGCTACTTATTCATACATGGAAAAGCAAGATTACAAATTATTCGAGCTAAAATCTCACTTTTGCCAGGAAAAATAAAATAATTACATCTTTCACCCTCTATGAAGCACTTCCATTATCACAAAGATATTAAAGTTGCCTTTTTTTCTACAATAATACCATGTTGTGGATTCATTTAATTTGTGATTCAACACAGCTCCCAGAGCTTTCATTTGCTTCATTATTGCCAGCCCAGCTATCTCTCCCCCCACTATTCTGTATGCAGATATTTTACTGCTGTCCTAAACATAGTACTTCAGAGTGTCTTGTAATTCATCATTCTTCAGGACAGTATTTCATCCTGATCCAGTCCTTCAAATTGCTGGACATTTCTGCTGTAAAGATACTGAGCACAAATGGGTGCTAAGTCTCTTGAATCAGTATTAGAAAATGCTCTAGACCACAGAAAAAGCCTATGGCATTCCCTGATGGACTAAACCAGTGCAGGTTTTTCAATATTACGGTGGCTATATTCGGATTATCTTACTCCCTTTTTTAATGAGTAGAATCAGATCAATCAGATCAGATGAGTAGAATCACAATCAAAAACCAGACTAAAGAGAAGATACATCACAGCTACTATTTCATTGCTGTCTATTGCCTGGTAAAATGACAAATGATAGGACTGATTTGTTTTATTATTACTGGCAAAAAAAAAAAAAAAAAAAAAAAGGTCAGCAAATTAATAGCTCAGGCAGAATTTTTCCTGAGTATTAAAGATAAAATCATTATACACTGCCAGGAGAGCATGCTTTAAACAAATTAGCTATTTGGTCTTATTTTTCCTCACTCCAATTATGATCTACCATTCTAAAAAATAACTATATCAAAACATATTAAAATTTACTTTCATAATTTGTTAACTGGATTACACCTCTTATCTCTGACCTTGCTCTTCTCCAATCCATCCAGTTTTATTAAAGATGCAGTTGCAATTAGAAACAAGAACAGACAAGTCTAATAGAGGAAGCTCCTTTGTACATTAGAAACAAAACAGAGAAATCCAACAAAGAGTAATGCAGGTGCATCACTAGTTTGAGAAAAAGTGAATTAAATTGAGGCAGAGAACACCTTAAGAAAAGGATGGCTTCCTACATTTCAATCACTGCTGAAGTCAAACAAATAAAGCTTGAGCACTTTTTCTAATAAATCTATCAACTGCCTTCAGCAATATCTGAGACTTGGAACTGTTATATTGAAAACTAAGCTTCACTGTAGGAATATCAGGTTTCTTTGGTTTTTTTTTTTTAATAACAAAAGCTATTTTCATCAATAAGTAAATAAATATATTACCTTAGCAAACTGTGCATTTATCCATTTTGTGAAAGTTTTCTTTTGAACATCTTCCCGTTCATCTGCCAGAGAAAAGGAAAGTACTTCATTAGAATTATTCAAAAAAATAATTCAATATTATTGATTAATGTTTCAGTTATGGTTTATTGTAAATTACTAATAATACTTCAAATACAGGCAGGAATTTATTTTTTTTTTAAATTGCATCAACACATTCTGAAGGTCTACAGATCCCCTTCATAGCCAGGGTCTATATCCCCAGTTCAGTTGACCTATCCTGTGGTTTCTTTTCTCCTGGAAAAGAACATACTGCAGTAGGATCTGAAACACCCCATTCTAATTTTTAATTTCAGAGAGGTATAAAAAACCACAAACATGTCATCTGATGGTTTTGTCATCAGAAAACTCTTCTACAGTAGAAATGTACTTGAAATAACATTATATCCTTCTCCTCAAATCGCTTGAGGAAGTGAAACCTGAAACCCAAAATAGCTCTCCATTGGCAGCCCCTGATGTGCCTTATGCCTTTTTTAACTTGCAACTATTTACCTGTCACAAATTGTTATCTATTTTTCCTCCAGTGGAAAAAGAAAAAAACAAAAACAAACCCACACATATATTTGTTCAGCCATACATGAAATTCTTTTTCAATTCTTTAATATCAAATCTTTATAGAGGGAGATTATTTATTTTAGGCCTTGAGTTCTCTATCTAAGTTATAAGTACAATCTTGATACTGAATGAAACTGGACAAATAAAGGTAAAGTTCTGATGTATTTTATACAGGTTGAAAGAGAAAAATTATTTCAAACTACAATTTGTAGGCATTTGCTCAAAAAGATCTATTAGGCATCATCCCTGAAAAATAAAGGACAGATTTCTTTGCTTGGCAAAATAAAATCAACCTCAACGAGAACTGAAGGGCATATGTGGAAAAAGGGTGCAGAATGCTTATACTAAAATAAAGTTCATCCAATGCAGCCTTTTGGTTTGCAGTAAAATTCTCTACACTTCTCAAATAAAAAAGGATATTAAATTCTCTTCTGAAATGTATAGCAATTAATAACATTAATGGATTCAGCTAAATGTGAGTGGCAGGTATAGACAAGCTAGAAGAGAAATGCATGGCATTATTAATGTACTTTGCTTTCCCTCCCTCCACCTGTCCAAAGATACAAGTCAAGAGAAATCTTTTTGATACAAATGTATCTTTTGTTCTTAAAACCTCTATATCATTTTAAACACACCTTTATTACCAGAATGTTTTCCAGTTTCGAAGATACAATATACTCATAAAAAAAAATACTAGTTTGCAAAGTTACTACAGCATTATAAAGAGGTACTGCATACTTGAAGGAGCATATTCTGAGTTCAGAGGATCTTGAACAAACAAAAAAAAATGACAATAGTACAAGTAGAAACTTCTGTCACTAATATATACGAATATTTGCTACAATAAACTTTCTAGAATTCTATTGCTATCTATCCCAAATAATGCTGTCAGTTAATCCTTTGGCTGAAAGTAATACTTGAATATTTAAGAGACTCATCTAAAAGCAACAGCATGTGAAGAAAATGCATGCTTTTGGTAATACATGATGCTAAAGCTGTTAAAAATTTATTTTTCCCCACAAGCAACAGTTCTTTCTGTGTGACGGTAAGTTGTTTATTATAAGAGTTTTGTTTCCTTCTAGCCTCATGCAGTGCACAGAAGATGAGAGAAGAAAGATACATTTTGTTGGTAGAAGATAAATTTTCAGTCTGATATTATATTACAAAATTCTTCAGCAACTTCATATAAAATATTACACATAAATAGCAGCTTCTGTTTAATCATCTCTGCTAAAACTGCCAAATGCAAATGGGTTCGAAGAATAATGTGGCATTTAGCAAGGGAAAGGAAAAAGAGAAAAAAATCACCTTTTTCAAACTGTTCAAACAAGTATATGTGATATTTTGCAGGGAAAAGGAAAGAGACAAAAATGCCTCGTTAAACTGTTCAAACTTCTGCTTTTCCACCCCAGACAGCTGCAATAGCATATTTAGTAGCAGAGTGGCTTGTTTGTTTTAGGGCTTTATGTTTGTTTGTCTGTTTTCCCATAAAGATATATGCAAGTTAATTGCTAGTCACTAATTATTCATGTCCACTGTGCTAATAAAATCCAGGGTTCTCCTGAGAAAAATGAGAGTCAACCCCACAAACTGAATGTTTGAAACTTCTTCAAAGTCCAGGCAATGCTCTGCTACTCTGTAAACACAAACCTATTCCACTGCTGTTATCTTTATACAGAGATCACTGCAAGCACTTTCATCTCTAGGTGCTTGCTCTGACAAGTTTATACCACAACAATTTGTTACTCACAGCCTCGTAACCTAAAAATGAATCAATCTTTTGGTTATGCATGGCATGATTTCCCCATTGTAAACAGGATTTTTACAAAGAGATGTTCTCTTAGCCCAGATTTATGGATTGAATGCTCCATGTGGAAGCTGAATGACATTTATCTAGGTGCTGCAGAAACGTGCCAAGAACACTCCTCTGCCACTTTCATAATGCTGGGTTGATAAGAAATCCTTCAGCAGTGAGCCAGTGAATGTCCTTGGAGGTGCTTTACTGTGAGACAAGAATAATCAAATGGCCAGGCCAGGTAATTCCTTCACCTGTTCAAAGAGTAATATGGTATGTTTATTTCTTTTCTTTCAAGCTGAAAGAATTGCAGAATAGTGTACTGTCTTCAGGTTAGATTTAAACACTGCATGGATACTGAATTCCTTTATTGCAATAACAATGGGATCCCTTCCCACAGCAAAAATGCTTTTCTCAAATTGATGGTCTTTGAACAGATTAGGCTTAACCTCATTTTCTGTAGGTTATCAACTCAGAAAACAAATGCTCTGAGGTCTACAAAACCCTTCCAGGAAAAAAAGATATTGAGCAGTAAAATTCACCTGATTTTCATGCCCTAGAGGCTCTAGTACCCCTGAACAGATCTTGTTTTAACTGCAATGCATTCATAGATGTGTTCTGATGAGCATCCAGCTTTGAAACTGTGAATGCAAACCTCTCAGATTAGTTAACTGCACGTTTGACTTTTGAAGTATTAGTCCAGGTTAGGCCTCATAATAAATTATGACCCAGAGAGAAAGTGCAGTATTAATGAAGCTAATCATCTGACAAAGGACAGTTCTGGCACTTAATCAGGCAGCAAGGCTAATAGAGACAAGTGGCACACTGAAGGATGCTTAGGAACAATCATGATTCAACAGAACAAAGACGCTATTAATAATGGCAATTGGTCACCATACAACTTTCCTAATATACTTAACAGCTCATGTTTGCAACCTACCACTCCAATGCAATTCCCATCTGTCTTCTACAAGAAAACTTCCAACATTATGTTGTCATCTCTTAGTAAACGACACCTTTTATACTCTTATTTTTCCATACCATCCCACCCCCTCAAATGCTACCAAACATATTAAATAAAAAATAGTAACAGGAATAAAATATTTTAAATACCAGTATACTCTAGATGCTATTCTGAAAGTGTACATGATTGTTAACATATCACTAAAAAATGATACTTTTAAAAAATATGATCTGGAAAATACCAAGAAGATTGCAAAATGAACCAAGGTTCAGAAACATACACTATGTATGTCACTACATCATTCCATTTATATAATAAAAGCCATTTCCCCACAGAAAACACGTAGCAGGGAGAAGGAAATTTGCACTTTGTTGCATCGTTCCCTTTTTTCTAGAAGATCTTTAACCTCTCAACTCTTGACACACCTGAATAAATATTTCTTTCACTAACTCACAGAATGGTTGAGGCTGTAAGGCAGCTCTGGACATCATCTGGTCCAGTGCCCCAGTCAAGCAAGGCCACCTAGAATGGATTTTACAGCACCCTGTTGAGTGTGGGTTTTTTTTTATTATCTCCAAGGATGGAGACTCCACAGTGTCTCTTACTACTGCCACATGAAGACTGCATCTTCAGCCTTCAACAGATCTGGGTTGTGTTTTCCAAAGCAAGTGGCTTAGAAAAGCCTTCTCTAGAGCAAGTGCACCCCAATTTCTACAATCAGAAGACATTCAACAAAATGGTACTGGTACATGAGGAGTGTGGAAATAATCCATCTCCTCAGATTCTAAACTTCAATTTTAAACAAAAAACCAAAAAATCATTTTCATTATCGTATCAATGAAGATGTGACATTTGTAGTGTTTGAATCACTCAGAGACAGCCGTGATAGGAGGCTCAGTTGTGTGATGTATTTTTTGCAGCCTTTAGCAAGCAATTCCATCACAGGTGCAGGAAGAGAAACAGGGAAGAAGACATTTTATTCTGTTATCCAGCATTGCCCTGAGTTAGGTAAACAATAATTGAATAGTTATGTTTTGTCTAGAACCAGAACCTATAAGCAAGAAAGGAATAAAAGAAAAAAGAAAAAGGAAGCAAAGAAAGACAAGAATTCCCATATAGTGGTGGAAACTTTGAAACAATGGTGTTAAGGCAGGTGTCAATTCCCTCATTCATGGCAGCTGCAGGTTCATTGGAACACTGCACTTTAGAGAATAAAACCATCAAAATTGCTATTTGATTTTCCAGCAGCCAAACAATGCAGATTGAGAAAAGGTCAGGATTTTCCTCAGTGAGTGGGAGTGAGTACCAGCAATGGTGGGAGTACCAGGAACAAAAGAGGCCACAGACAGTCACATTATTGATACTCTGGCTCCGTTGACTCACTATTCTTAGAGATTTTCAGTACACTGTGACAATACCCTGCCAGTAACTACAGCTGCTGAGAAATGTTCCCTTCCCATTCTTGCTTATCTGAGGGGGGAAGAAGAAATCAATGCAACACAATGACAGAATGATATTTGAGTGGACTAGCTTTGATTTTTAGTCATTGAGGTCATCCAAGACATTCACAAGCTGACAGGAAATACAATAGGCTGCTTTGACAGACAGACAAAGAATTTAAGTCTATTGCTCATGTAAGGCAATACAGAACATGCAATTCTTTGCCCATCTTCTATAAATACACTGATGAG